GGACCTGCCGGCGGTGGGAGGTGCCGGCCGCGACCTCTTCTTGGCGAGGGCGCGCCCCGCGCGGTTCAACGTCGCACGGAGCGCCGGGAGAGTGGACAGTTGGCTGATAACGACCGATTTGAGCCGAAGGCGCCTGCGGACTCACGTAGGATACGGTATCCGCAGGCTCGGCGGCCTGGCGGCGCCCCTGAGTCTCGGGAGAGAGTGTTTGATTTTCTTCTTTCCCTGCCAACCTTCCTCGGAAAAATCAAACAGCATCGATCACAATGATTTTGCCTGCCCAGACCTCGCGAGCTCACAACTGGCAGCCGTGGGGCGCCTTCCACATGACAACGCCGCCCGGCAAGTCAAGAACCATGCCAAGCTGTCTGGGCACATCCGCTGGAAACAGGAAAGGCACGTCACATGCAAGCAAACGCACCGCAAGGGCACCGCAATTCTTCGCAACAGCAACCTGCCAGGTCCAACTGGAAAACAAACTGGCGGATCCTCCAACGCCCATGGCGTCCATTTCCAGAGTGGGCATCTGCATCGGCCTCAGACCGCGGGCACCCCCCCCCCCAGATATATCACCATTTACTCCGACAGATCTTTGCCACGTACTCCATGCTGAGCCCCAGCGCCCACCTACCCGAAACCCATCTGAGCGTGAAGCCCAATGAAAATGTGATTTCCAGCGTTGGCAGAAGCAAAATCAGGAAAGGTAGAAGAACTGACTCCAGACAGGATCGCAGGCCCCCCTTGACAAGCGTCGCGCAAAACATCATCAGCCTCAAAAAATACTGCTCGGAAGCCGCCGAAGCCCGCTTGTCGCTCGCGTCCTCGCTCGTCTGGCTCGGTCGCACAGCCCCGAGCCCAGCGCCCGATCTCCCCGTGCCGGGCGCACTTCGAGCGATTCATCAAACTATTTTTGATCAACCGCTACGGCCGGGCATGTCCAATCCGTAACCCTCGACGTTTTCCCGTTCGGGAGCCTTTGTTCTTCCTTTCTCTCGGTGTGGGGGCCGTTTGAAACAGCCTCGTCCAAGCTTCCGCTCGCGCAGGCGCTGTCGCGCCTGACTGCAGTTAGCGCAGATGGCGACGGCCCCGCCCTCCTCTAGAACCTCGTCGTCGGGCACGTCCCCAGCTGCGAAGAGCACGCGCCCGTCGCCCATGTACTTGACAGCCTCAGTCAGGATCTCGCATCCCCCGTGGGACCTGGGCAAGGTAAAGAAAGACTGTTCCACGGTAACTAATTGAAAATCGCCCCGACCCGAACCCCCGGCCCTCGCATCCGCTGCCATTTCCTCCGTGTCCGACAAAGTGCGAGGAGGAACTCATGCCATGGATGCGATGGTCGCCGTTGCCAGAAGGCAGCGGTCGCTCAAACTTCCGGAACTTTCCGTGCGCCAGATCAAAGTCGCATGACCCCTCTGCCCAGTGCTCAACCGGGCTCCCAAGCGGCGTCGTTGAGCTTGGATTCTCAAAGAAACACGCACCCACGCGCGCCCCCCAGCAGGGCCATACGCTTCTCGGGTTCTCGGAAAAAGCACGCGCTTACGCGGCCAGGGATTCATCTCGCTTACGCCTGGTGTCGTCTGAATTGAAGAGCCCCTCAAAAGCCCTCGGCATCCCGCGGCCCTGGTTTCCGGCAACAGCTTGCCGGATATGTTTGGCCACAATCTACCCGCCGTCCTCTGAAGACAACCGGTCTTCGGTGAGATCGTCAATGATGATATTGAGGTCGTCTTTGGCGCAGCCATAGATGAGGCATCCGCGCTGTGATTTTAAAGTTCTGGTCGTAGCGGGCCACATCTGCAGCGCCTTCATATGAGGCCCCAGACGGGCATCAAGATCCCCCCATCCAAAGTGGGAGGCTGGTCGTTCGGTATCTTTGGGGCATCCGATTGTTCGGGACATTGCCCTCTGGCGATCAGAATATCTGGCAGCGGCATCTCTACCCAATAGGTCGGAGCAACAAGAGTGAAATGCATCGCCTGTCCTCGCGCAAGCGCGCTCTGCCGATCCGGCGCAGCCGGTGAACCGCTGCATCGCGCAGTCCAACCTCATGAGGGTAGTTGAGCACTGGGCTGTGTCTCCGCCCGAGGCTGCGAGAACCAGCGGGCCCAGTCCTGATCCGACCAGCCCGCGTCGTCGTCACCTTCCCAAGGAACGTCTCGTCGCCATCCAGCCCCCGCCCAAAGATCCCGCCCCAACTGTAACCAAGGATCTGCTGGAAGCTCATCTTCTTGACGCTGAGCGTCGCCCGGGGAATCCACGGCGGCGCTCGGCGCGCGGGGTAAAGGGCGGGAAGAACGGAATCAGAGCAAAGAGTATGTCACCCGAGAATCGAATGACAGGGGGGTCGCCCTGACTCCCCCCGCGGATCTCAACCGCGGGCTCCGCTGCCACTGCGGACGGAGCGCACGGGAGTCACTGCGTGGAACACAGAGAGACACGAAGTATAATCGGGGTGGCCCTGCTGCGAGAGAGCACGTTCTCATTCCTTTTACGGGGGCCAAGGCGCGCCCGTCGCCTGCGCGCCAGCGCGACTCAAGGGCCGTCGACGTCGCGAGCCGAGATAGCAGCGCACAAGGGAGTTCTGAGAGGGACGAAGGAGGAGGACAGGCTGACATGGGCCTGACAACCACAAGCATGCCAAGCTAAAAGCGAGCCCCCAGCACAGCATTACACGCCGCCCGGTCGAGCTGAATTCCTAGCACCTCTATCTCACTGTAAATTTAGAATGCGAGTGCTTGATCGGGCCGCTCGTGGGCCACCGCGATGCGGCGATATGCCCATCTGCTGAGGATGAATCCTGTGTCCTTCAACTCGTAGACATAACTCAAGAATCGGAAAACTGGTTCTTCCGCGCATTAAGCAAGCGATTCTGGGTCGCAGGCGCCGTTGCGATCCCATGAACTCGAACGAGGTCAAGAAGCCGCACTTCGTCGTCCTGAATGCACTTTTCATCTGGGGTTGGTACGACCTGGCCACTGTGGTGCGCTTTCGGGGTGGGCCCTGTCTGCAACACCGCGTCGGACAACTTCACAGTCGCGTCTCCGTACCCGAAACGGATACACATGTGCATCATTTCCAGAATTTGAGAGGCGTTGTATTGCACGCCCTCCGCCAACATAGGACTGAAGACATGCAGGCCGGAACTCTGCCGACATTCTTCATGCCCAGATAGGTCTCCCGAGTCCGTCGAGCTGCCCTGGCAAACGCGTGATTTCTCGGGCGGCGTTCGCTCCGCCGTCGGGGCTGCAAGGCTGGCCAGGCGCTGGCCATCACAGACCACCTTGTCGATCGCTGGCTTCGTCGCAACCTGTTGTCTTGAATTCGTGATCGGCCCCGTGGTTCTGGACATGTAAGCGTCGAGGAAGACAACCCACAGCAAGAAATATACCTGAGCCTGCCCGTCAGGCTGGATAATGTCATGAACTGACTGCGCGATGCGAAGACGTCCGTACAGAACACTGCGATATACACAAGAAGCATGTGGGCGGCAAGCCCCATCGAACACTTCTAGACGCTCCGTTTTACCATCGTGACCGCAACAGTCATATCTTACTTATGAGAAGAATGCCGAAGAGTATGGCGCCAATTGAAAACGTTGACTGAATATAGAACGATGCGCATTCCCAGGCGAGGCCTGGTTCGATCCGACTGCTTAAGCGCACGCGGTTTGGGCCAAAATGGCAACGGACACAATGTTCGTTATACCATTGGTATGTTGTTATGTTATGATGGGATGTTCCGAATCAAATGTGCCCGATCCGTGCGTAATATGTCATATTCGCTGTCGTCTCAGACGCAACGGTATGCTACATACACTCGGGCATGTCAAAGTGTATTCGGTTACGCCCCAGTCCGTCGCAATATGGTCCCTTCTGCTATGGTATGCAGTGGTTTGTTATGCTAAGTTCTGTAGTATTATGTTGCGGTGTGCTCTGACATGTTCTGTTCCAGTATGGTATGCCATGCTCGGTTAGTTGTATCAGAAGTTGGTCGGTGTTGCTACGCTATTGGGTTCGAATATATTCATGGAAGACTACGCTATGTGTTACTAGATGTGTTGCTATTGTAATAGCACGGGTGGAACAAGTGGTTCATGATACGCGATGCTCTTTTATGGTGCACACCGTGATGGCCCACTCTGCCTTCGTATGTTTGTTGAATAAAGCTATGGTACACCCTGGCATGTGACGCTATGCTACGTTAGGCTATGGTATGTCATGTAATGCTATGCTGGTTGATGCTCTGACATGATGTGTTTTATTTTGGTCCGCTCAAGTGGGCGATGCTTTATCATGGTAAACTCTGTTATGCTCTGTTCTGTCAAAACGCGTGCGTGTTATGATAGATGTGTCAATTTTAGCTGTGCGCTCTTGATGCCGATCCTTCATGCCTCTTTGCTCATGCGTCGTGACGCCGCCTGGACGGCGTGACGCCGTGACGCCTCCCCCTCGGGGCTGTCTGGTATGGCGGGTGCCGTCATTCTTCGAGGACGCGAGGCGGGATTCTCAGTGACACTCGGGATCCTGTGGGGCCAGGCGACCGCAGCATGCAGGGTGGGCAGGCGGGAGCTCTTCCTTCCCAATCTTTCAGCCCCAACCTGTCGGGTGGGGAACAGCTGCATAAACATAAACTTGCGGAGACCCGTGCGGATTTTCTGGATCTGCGCTGTGCTCCCCTCCCTGGCGCGCGGAGCGCGCCAGGGGCGGAGCTGGAGGCGCCGGGAGGGGGGGGAGGGCCCAAAGCCGATGCAAGAAATCCGCGTGGAGCGTCAAACATGTTTGTCCATGCCGCATGTCCTTCTTCATCTTCTACTTGTTCAGGTTATTACCACTCTGATCACTATTTTCATTATTATTCGTATTATTACTGATGCAACTGATAGTATTCTTATTAGTATCAGTAATCGTGTGCTTTGTAATATTAATATTCGGGTTGCGACTATTATTATCCTTCTTCCGCGAGAGAGAGAGAGAGAGGAAGCGGGGGCGGGCGATGATGGCTTTCGGTTGCAGATCTTCGTGAGAAACTGGAACATCTGCTGCCGCACCTCCGGCGGCAGCTGCGTGCCTGCCGCCGCCATGTCCCACACTGCGACGCTCCTCGGGCGGGGGGGGCGCGCCGGCCGATTGGCAAGCACAGCCTCTGCCGATCCCCGCTTTCTCGTGGGCCCGATCCCCCTCGTCGAACAACTACAGTAAACACGTAATATCGAAGACGCCTAAGGCGAATCACCGCCGCCCCCTGCCTTTTTGGAAGCGCCTCTGTGGCCGACAGCTGGGCCAGAGCTTGGCTAAGCTATCGGGCCAGTTGTTCCCCGAGTCGGTTTGAAAACGCCTTCGGGGAACGCGTGGGGGAGCAAGAAGAGGAGGAGGGGGAGGATGAGGAAAAAATGGGAGGAGGAGGAGGAGGAGGAAAAGGAGGCCTCTTGGGCGCCTCTTGGGGCACTCTTGGGGCCTCCTGGGAGTTTCCTGGGGGCCTCTCGGAAGGTTTTGGGGGGCCTTGGGGGGCTTCTTGGGGGCCTCTTTAGCCGTCTTAGGGCGTTCCTGGTTTGTCTGACGCTGTCGGAAGCCGTCTTGGGAGCCTGTCTGGGTCGTCTTGGGGCCCTCTTGGGGCATATCAGGGGTTCTTAGAGGCCATCTTGGGCGTCTTGGAGGCCTCTTGGGCAGTTTAGGGGGCTCCCTTGGGGCCCTCTTAGGGGCCTTCTGGGCCGTCATGGGGCCATCTTGGAGGCCTCTTGGGCGATCTTGGGGGTCTCCTCTTTCGCCGTCTTGAGCCGTCGGAATGCCGAGAAGAAGCAAACGCACAAATCCTTCAACAACCTAATGAACATCAATGATTTTGGCCTCTCCGTGCCCTCCTGGAAGACCTCCTGGACGCCTTTTGGGCCGTCTTGGAGGCCTCTTGGGGGCCCCTTGGGCTGTCTTGAGCCATCTTGAGGCCATCTTAGGCCGTCTTGGGTGCATCTTGGGCCGTCTTGGAGGCATCTTGGGGCCATCTTAGCCGTCTTGGAAGCCATTTTGGCCGTCTTGGACGCCTCTTGGGCCCTCTTGGGACCGTCTTGGGGGCCTCTTGGGCCGTCATGGGGCCATCTTGGAGGCCTCGTGGGCGATCTTGGGGGCTTCTTGGACCGTCGGAATGCCGAAAAGAAGCAAATGCACAAATCCTTAAACACCGTAAGGGAAATCAATGATTTGGGTCTCTTCGGGCCCTCCTTGAGGACCTCTTGGAGGCCTCTTGCGCCGTCTTGGAGGCCTCTTGGGGGCCTCTTGGGCCGTCTTGGGCCATCTTCAGGCCATCTTAGGCAGTCTTGGGTGCATCTTGGGCCGTCTTGGAGGCATCTTGGGGCCATCTTAGCCGTCTTGGAGGCCATCTTGGGCGTCTTGGAGGCCTCTCGGGCCGTTTTGGAGCCCTCTTGGGAGCATCTTGGGAGCCTCTTGGGCCGTCATGGGGCCATCTTGGAGGCCTCGTGGGCGATCTTGGGGCGATCTTGGGGGCCTCTTGGGCCGTCTTAGACCGTCGGAAAGCTGAAAAGACGCAAATACCAAAATCCTTCAAACACCTTGGGAAAATCAATGATTTTGCCCTCTTCGGGCCCTCCTGGAGGACCTCTTGAAGGCCTTTGGGGCCGTCTTGGAGGCCTCTTGGGGGCCTCTTGGGCCATCTGGAAGCCATCTCAGGCTGTCTTGGGTGCACCTTGGGCCGTCTTGGAGACATCTTGGGGCCATCTTTGCCGTCTTGGAGGCCATCTTGGGCGTCTTGGAGACCATCTTGGGCCGTCTTAGAGCCGTCTGGACAGGAAAATCCTTTGGAGCCGGGTCTGGGCAATCTTTCCGCGACCTCGGCGGGACAGGCCGAAGCCCTTTTGGAACAAGAACCAAAACCAACACCGAGAGGGTTCAGCAAGCCAGACACCCCTGCGATGAATCGACAGGGGGGCGGCGGATCGAAGCCGCATACGGTGAATCACCGCCGCCCCCTGCCTTTTTGGAAGCGCCTATGTGGCCGAACGCTGAGGCCAGATCTGCCAAGCAATCGGACCATGTGTTCTCCGAATCGGTTTGAAAAGCCTTCGGGGAACACGTTGGCATCTTGAAGGTCTTCTTGGCCGTCTGGAAACCATTTTGACCCTTTCGGGCCTTCTTGGAGGACGTCTTGGAGTGCTCTTGGGCCGTCTTCGAGGCCATCTTGAGCGTCTTGGAGGCCTCTTGGGCCGTCTTGGGGCCTCTTGTGGCCGTCTTGGGCCTCCTGGGTGATCTTTGGGGGCTCTTGGGCCGTCTCGGGCCGTCGGAAGGCCGAACAAAAGCAAATGCCCAAATCCTTCAAAAACCGTAGAAAAATCAATGATGTTGGCCTCTTCGGGCCCTCCTGGAGCACCTCTTGGAGGCCTCTCGGGCCGTATTGAAGCCTCTTGGGGCGTCTTGGGCCATCTTGAGGCTATCTTACGCTATCTTGGGTACATTTTGGGCCGTCTTGGAGACATATTGGGGCTATCCTAGCCGTCTTGGAGGCCATCTTGGCCGTCTTGGGTGCATCTTGGAGGCCATCTTGGGCCGTCTCGGAGCCGCCTTGGAGCCGTGAAACACCCTTTGGAACCGGGTCGTGGCAAGTTTCGGCATCCTCTCGGGTGGCCGGCAGGACGTGCCGAAGCCCAAGGGGGCGTTCTTTTGTCAAAAAACCAAAACCAAAACCGCGAGGATTCAGCACGCCAGGCACCCCTGCGATGAATCGACAGGGGGCGGCGGAACTCGCGGCCTTCGGCCCATCCCGCCACCTTGCCTGGGTTGTGGGTATGAAGCCTACTGGATGCTCGTTGGGATCTCGTGGGAGGCCTCTCGGGGGCCGGATGTAGGCAGTTTGGACGCCTCTTGTGGTTTTTTTCTTGGGGGGGGGGGCTCTTGGAGCCTCTTTTGGGAGCCTCTTGGGGTCTCTTGGGGGCCTCTTTGGGGCCTCGTGGGGCCTCCTGGCCACCTCTTGGGGCCTCCTGGGGCCTATGGGGGCATTTGAGCTCTTTTCGGGGCTGTCTTGAAGCCCTCTTGGGCCGTTTTGAGCGCCACTTGGGCCGTCTTGGGGCCCTCTTCGTTTTGACGCCCTCTTGAAAGCCTCTTAGGCAGTCTTGGGGCGGTTTGGGGGGCATCTAGGGCCGTCTGGGACCGTCAAACCTTGGGAAAGTTAATGATTTGTGCCTCTGGGGCCCCTCTTGGGAGAGGCCTCTTGGGAAGCCTCTTGGAGGCCGCTTGGGCCGTCTTGAGGCCATCTTGAGTGTCTTGGGCCGATTTTTCGGCGACTCGAAGTCCTCTTGGCCCGCCTTCGGGGCCTCTTGGGGCCCTCTTGGCCCGTCTTGGGTTGGGGCCCTCTCGGGCCCGCAAAATTCACGCGCCATCACTTCCCGGAGCCCTGGGTTCACGCGGGAAACCCTGGGAGATTTGATAGCGAAGGGGCCGGGCCCCTCGAAGAGGCTTAGAGGATTGGACCCAGGACCTCAGGACACGCCCAACAAGTGGTGGCGCGTCAACTTTTCGGGCCCAAGAGGGCCCCAAGACAGGCCAAGAGGGCCCCAAGAGGCCCCGAAGGCGGGCCAAGAGGGTTCCGAGTCGCCGAAAGATCGGCCCAAGACACTCAAGATGGCCTCAAGACGGCCCAAGAGGCCTCCAAGAGGCTTCCCAAGAGGGCCCCCGGAAGAAAAAATAATTGAATTCCCATATGTGTTTAATTAACTTTGGCATTTTCGCCTTTCTGGCTTCCCGACGTTCCCAGACGGCCCTAAGAAGCCCCCAAGACCGCCCCAAGACGGCCCTAGAGGCCTCCAAGATGATCCCGAAACGGCCCAAGAGGGCCCCTCATACATACATATTGCATGGCGGGTGAAACCCAAGAGAGCCCCAAGACAACCCAAAAAGGGGCTCAAAACAGAGAGCACGAACCAAAATTCCAAGCCTCCCACCCCAAGGCTGCCAGGAGACCCGAAGAGGTGGCCAGGAGGCCCCACGAGACCCCCAAGAGGTGACCAGGCACGGTGGCGGGGTGGGCCGAAGGCACTTCGATAAGAAATCTCTCCATAGGAAATGTTGGGGGCATGCTTTTCGTCGATGTTTGAAGGTCCCACGGTGACCCAGGAGCTTCCGTGGGCCCCCCTAAGGGCCATCAGGGCATTGGAGTTTCCGCGGAGCACGTCCGGGCAGGCCGAGTTCTCTTCGAATGTGCATCTAGGGCTCCCAACTTCGCGCTTCGCGCTGCGCGAAGCGCGAAGCGCGAAGAACTTCGCGCTCTCGCGCCGCCCCCCCAAAGGGAGAAGAGGAGGACGAGGAGGAGGGGGAGAAGGAACGAGGCCCGCGAAGCGCGAAGCGCGAATAACTTCGCGCCCTCGAGGGAGCCCTTGGCATTGGAGCTTCCGCGGAGCACGTCCGGGCAGGCCGATTTCTCTTCGAATGTGCATCGACATTCGAGATGCAAAGCCCACGAAAAGGAGACCAAATTGTAAAGGGCAACGCTGAAAGGGCCGGAGCTCCGCCCCCCCCTCTCCTTCCTTCCCCCAATTACCCTTCCTGCCCCCCTTCCCCTTTACCGCCCCAGCCCCCCTCGTCTCCCCTTCCCATCCCTTCTCCCCTCTTTCCCTTCCCTTCCCCTTCCTTTTTTTCCCCCTCTCCTCGCTCCCCCTCTCTCCACCCGATCCCCACAGGCCCCTTCCACTCGCCTTCCCCTACCCCGACCCCTTCCCCCAATTCCCTTCCCTAATTTCCCGTGTCCGTGCCCCCATCTTCCCTTCCTTCTTTCCCCTATGTACGTTTTTGTGTGTTTCCTTCCGCGGGGACGCACGCACCCGCGCTCGCGCGCGCACGCGCCCGCACACACACACACACAGACAGACACACACACACACAAAACAAACACACACACGCACACACAAAAAACACACAGACACACACAGACACACACAGACACACACACACACACAGACACACACCCACACAGACACATACACAGACACACACACACACAGACACACACCGACACACACACAGGCACACACAGACGCACACACAGACACACACAGACGCGCATGAGACACACACACACAGACACACACACACACAGACACACACAGACACACACACAGACACACACACAGATAAACACAGGCACACACAGACACACACACAGACACACACACACACAAACACAGACACACACAGACACACACACACAGACACACACACAGACCCACACATACACACAGACACACACACAGACACACACGCAGATACAGACACACACACACACACAGACACACACACACAGACACACACACAGACACACACACAGACACACACACAGACACACACACAGGCACACACAGACACACACAGGCAGACACAGACACAAACAGACACAAACAGACACACAGACACACAGACACACAGACACACACAGACACACACAGACACACACGCACCAAACACAGACACACACACAGACACACACAGACACACACAGACACACTCACAGACACACACAGACACACACACAGACACAAACACACAAACAGACACTCACAGACACACACACACACACGGACACACACACACACGGACACACACAGACACACACACACACACAGACACAGACACACACACACAGACACACACACACAAACGCAAAAACACAGACAACACACACAGACACACAGACAGACACACACACAGAGACACAGACACACACACACAGACATACACAGACACACACAGACACACACAAACAAACACAAACACACGCAGACACACACAGACACACACACACACGGACACACACTGACACACACACAGACACACACACAGACACACACACAGACACACACACACACACACAGACATACAGAGACACACACAGACACACACAGACAAACACAGACACACACACAGACACACACACAGACACAAACACAAACACACACAGGCACACACACACAGACACACACAAACACACACACAGAAACACACGGACACACGCAGACAGACACACAAACACACGCAGACAAACACACAAACACACACTGACACACACACAGACACACACAGACACAAACAGACGCGCATAGGCACCCACAGACACACACACACAGACACACACAAACTGACACACACACAGACACACACAGACACACACAGACACACACAGGCACACACAGACACACACAGCCACACACAGACACACAGACACACACAGAGACAAACACACACACACAGACACACAGACACACGCACACACAGACACACACAGACACACACAGACACACAGACACACAGATACACAGACACACAGACTCACAGAGACACAGACACACACACACAGGTACACACACACAGACACACAGACGCACAGACACACAAACACACAGGCACACAGGCACACAGGCACACAGGCACACAGGCACACAGGCACACAAGCGCACAGGCACACAGGCAAACACGCACACAGGCACACAGGCACACAGGCACACAAACGCACAGGCACACAGGCACACAAGCACACAGGCAAACAGGCACACAGGCAAACACGCACACAGGCACACAGGCACACAGGCACACAAACACACAGGCACACAGGCACACAGGCACACAAGCACACAGGCAAACAGGCACACAAGCACACAGGCACACAGGCACACAGATACATAGACACACAGACTCACAGAGACACAGGAACACAGGCACACACGCACACAGGCACACAGGAACACAGGCACACAGGTACAAAAGCACACAGGCACACAGGCAAACAGGCACACAGACACACAGGCACACAGGCACGCAGGCACACCGGCACACCGACACATCGACACACACACACACAGACACACACAGACACACACGCACACAGACACACAGACACACCGACACACAGACACACAAACACACAGACACACACACAGACACACACACAGACACACACACAGACACACACACACACAAAAACACACAGACATCCAGACACACAGACACACCGACACAAAGACACACAGACACACACAGACACACATACACACAGACACACACAGGCATACACAGATACACACAGACATTCACAGACACACAGACACACAGACACACAGACACACAGACACACAGACACACAGACACACAGACACACACACACACTGACACACGCACACAGACACACACAGACACACACACACACACACTGACACACAGACACACAGACATACAGACATGCACACAGACACATACAGACACACACACACAGACATACACACAGACACATACACACACAGACACACACACGCAGACACACACACACAGACACACACGCAGACACACACACACAGACACACACACACACACACAAACACACAGACACGCAGACACAAACACACACACACACAGACACACACACACACGCACACACACAGACACACAGACACACACACACACACAGACACACTCGCACGCATGCACGCACACACATAAACATACACACACGTACATACATACAACGACACACACACACACACTTGCCAAGTCAAGAGACCATCCGTCAACCTGGGACCTGCAGTCTGAAAACAAGTGAGAATGATATAAAGTCCGATGTTGAAGCTACCGGAAATTCACTTGGTGCTGGCGACGTGGAAGAAGCCGACGGTGGCCGAGAATGTTCAGCAGGAGCGCTTTATTTATGCATATATAGAAAAATTCTCGCGCTGTACAGCGGAAGTGCGTTTTCACATTTCCATATGGGGGCCTTCGTTGGCCAGCGCCCCAAATGCCATTCGCTGGCCCCTTTCCGCGGTCGCAGAACTACGAATTGCGCTTCCGGCGAGCTATGAGCGAACGCCCCCCTGGACACGGGGGCTGTCTCAACCGTGGGACCCACAAGCCCCCCCTTCACCTCGGAATTCTGAAGTCGCGGACTATCGAATGGACTACGCCGCCATCCATCCGCCCCAACCGCAAAAGACAGGGCAATGCGTGCGCGTGCGCTTCGAACTCAAAGCGCAACTGAGATAGTATGGGGGACAGAAAGGAAGCGCAGAGAGACAGATGCAACAGCCGACATTAACGCGCTCGCCACCAGGCCTGTGTGTTTTGAGCTCGTTATGATATTGACTCTGGAATCTGCTTTCGATGAACTAATGACCGTCGACGCCGCCCATGTCCGCGGAGACCCCTGCGGGCCTGGAAGAAGCTTTGAAGCGCCAAAAGGGGTGGGAACGGGGAAGGAAGGAGCGGGAGAAGGAGAGGCGGAACGGGAAAAAAATGAGGAGGCGCAACGACACTCACAGCACCTGAACAGGATCTGAAGCCTGAAACGAAAACAACCGACGGAAAACACATCTAGAACGGTCACGCCTAAACCCTCGAAACTGTTCTGCTGGAGACCCAACTGCGCTCGGCAGGGAGATTGCGAGTGAACGCGCTGAAAGTTATGGTTGCGCGGCCGGGGGGACATGCATATTACGTACGCGAGCGATAAAAGCTCAACCTGGACTGGGTCATGGCATCGTCCATTGAAGAGGCGGAACGCAGAGACGTCGCGCGGCGGAGCACAACTGGCGACGACGACGACGACGACGACGACGACGACGACGACGACGACGACGACGACGACGACGACGACGACGAGGGGGGGGGGGGGCACGGAGCGAGCGGAGAGGAAGTAGGGGAAGGGAGGCGGGGACGACGAGCACGAGCGAGACCATGACGACGACCCGACTGCGACGCAGAAAAACACGCCAGGCACCCCGACCGCACCTGAGGCCCCGCACTGCGCGGCGCGCGCGGCGGCACCAGAAGCGGCGCGGAGGAAACGACGGCGACAGCGACGACGACGACGACGACAATGACAAAACGGCATGAAAACCAAGAGAGAGGACCGGGAGGAGGGCGAAGACAAATTAGCACCCCCCTGGCGCACTTGCAATGCTGAAACGCACAGGTTTCGCCGCCTACGCGGTGGAACGCTGAGCCTGGGAAAACGCGCGGGCGAAGTCGGCAAGCCTAGATGGAGCGCCTCAGAATTCTGCATTGCACAACTGTACAAAGGAAGATTGTTGTAACATCGTAGTAAATTTGGAGCACTGGCTGGGGCGAGGAAAGTAAGGGGGGAGGAGGGAAGAAGAAGACAGGGGCGAGGCGGGGCAAGAGGGAAGAAGAAAGGAGGGGCAGAAGCAGAAGGGGGGCAGGCGCGGAGCAAAATCAGCAGGCTGCCGAACGAGCCGATTGTAAGGTTTCTTCGAAGTGGCCGCAAAGCGTTTCCTGGACATTCGCGGCAGTAGCGAAATAATGCCCTTGAGCAAGCCGACGCGCGTCCGACGCGCATGCCAGATAAAGAGACCATCCGTCACCCTGGGACCTCTTATTCCGCAAATTGCTGGGACTGCTATAACATTCGATGTCGCAGCTGCCGAAAATGCATTTGGTGCGCGCGACGTGAGAGGAGCCGACGGCGGCCGAGCTGTGCAACAGGAGTGTTTTTGTATAGAAAAACGCTCGCGCTGCACAGCGGAGGTTCCTTTTCACATTGGCATACGGGGTCTTTGTTGGCCAGCGCCCCACATGCCCATCGCTCGCCCCTTCCGCGTTTGAAGAACTACGAATTGAAACCTTTTGTGCCGAAGAGGCTGCGGAGAGGGTAGCGTATCAGGCTCTTGTTTAAGAGCGTGTAAACCAACTCTATATACGGTTTCCCCCAAAAACGCCCTCGAGGTCGCCAGGTCCACTCTGGAGCCAGACCTCGGAGGGAAACGCCATCTAAAACAGCTTCTAAAATGGAACGGGGGTAGCTGGGCCACTGAGGCCCGTCCCCCCCTGAAAAATTCACCCTCCCACACAGGCAGGTAACCTCCTCATTCACGTATTTAACCACCCGCCTGAGCCCAAGCCTCTGTTACTTTACGAGCGTGCCAAGCCGACCATATTCGTGAATTTATCCAGCTTCTCCCCGGTCATCGGCTTGGTCATCATGCCGCTCGGGTTCTCGTGAGTGCATGCATACTTTGCCGGAATGCAATCGGCCTTGTTCGCGCCACTGCTGCAGCTCCAGGAAGCGGACCCCCACGTGATCAACCTTTCCTGGACCGCGCTCCTTCGCGATATGTAGCGCACTGCTGCTGTCGCTTATCACGAGCGGCACCGTCTTCTCCATCCACTCCTCGAGTAGCGACGCCAATCCGAGAGCCCCCGCTGCTCCCGAACCCAGCGCGCATAGCTCGCTCTATGCCGTCTTGTCATTGGCCAAGTCTGCGCCCACCCAGCACCCCACTGCAGTGCCTCCCTTGTCCGGAACCAACTGCACCTTGTAGTCGCGCGCGCCTGCAAGGCATCGCGCCATCTTCTTCAACCTCCTCAGGCCCTTCTCCGCTGGTCCTGACACGCCCCCGCTTAGAACCCCAGCTCACGTCGAATGTCAGGACGGCGGCTCGCAAGCCGCAATAACTTCCCAACGCAGGTCCGGGGGCGACTGGGGCCCACCATATCCAGCTTCACCTCGTCGCTCTTCACGTGCACCTCATTCTTGGTCTCGGGCAGTACTGATGGCTTCGCCGCCTCCAGGCCCAACTCCTTCAAGATGTCGTCGATCAAGCTCGTCTTGCCGCTGAACGCGTAGCCGCCCCGGCCGTTACCGCCTGCGTGCTCAGGATCGTCGCCTGGTCTCCGTTATTGGTGAGCTTCGCCACGACCGATCACGTCAGTCTCTCTCTCTCTCTCTCTCTCCCTCACATCGCCTCTAGCAGCTCGTCAGCTTCGCCGCTCGGCCGAGTGGTCAGGAAGTCGTCTGCGCGCCTCCCTGCCTTCATCCTGTTGCTCAGTTGCATCAAGAGACGCCCGTCGCAGTGGCCCCATTGACCATCGCCAACTCCTCCATAGCGTTCGCGCCGTGATCCCCCCAAGCCTTCGGCGCTCCTTCGAGTCCTGGACACGCGCACAGCGCCTCCCAGACATGTCCTTCAGGTGCTCCTGCTTCTGGTGGCGGTTCCAGGAAGATGCGGCCCTCGGTGAGCGGCGCCTGATAGAAGGCCCCACTGCCGTCGCCAAACGCCACCGCGTGATCGCGCAACTCCGCATTGGCCAGCATCGCCTTCAGGTGCGGAAGTGAAGGGGCCGCGGCCACGAAGTTCTCGCGCCCGTTCACCTGTTGCTCGAAGCCCCTCGTGGTCCACCGGCTCTGCCTGCTGCCGCCCGCCGGGTAGGCGTCGACCAACTCCCCCGTCAGGATCTTGGACGTCGCGTCCTTGATCGGGATCACCTTTACGATAATGTTGCCGCATCGTGCGATCTGTTCCAACTGCTCCTTCCTTGTCTCCGTGAAGTCGCCTTCCAGTGCGTGCGTCTTCGCGTCCTCCACCTGCGGTTCCTCGCGCATCTCTCTGACTGCACCGATCATCTGGATGGTAATGACCCTGGTCATCGTACCTTCGCTTCCTTCTCCGCCTTCGCGTTCTCACTCCCCCCCCCCCCCTACCAGCGGAATGCCCATTGGCTGGCCCTCGGCGTCGACGGTCCTGCCGCCTCGTCCCTGGGTCTCTTCATCTCCAACTGCCTCTTGTCCACGTCCACGTCGTCGTGCGGTGCTGCCGCCGCTGCTGCTGATGCTGGCTGTGGTGGCGCTGGTGCTGGTCCTCCTGCTGCTGCTGCTGCTGCTGCTCCTGCTGCGGCTGCGGCTGCCGCGTTCGGGCTCAGGTACTTCGGTAACGGCCCGAGTAGGATCGCTTCCTGCAGTGACCTCTGCGTTGGCGCCCCCCCCCCCCACCCCCACCCCACCCACCCCCCCCCCTCGCGGTTGGCGTCGGTTCCCAGGGTGCCCACCTCATCTTGTCGAACAGCCCCCTGCCCCAGCGTCGGCTGTCCACCCTCCTCTTCACCGCTCTGGACCTGCACGCTTCCGTCGGCGTTCCGACCAGGTGCTCGCCCGCCCCCGCGTCGCGCCCTAGCCAGATGCCCCCAGCCACGACAACTCCAGCTTGTTGACCTGGGCTCCTGGCCTCCTGCAGATCGCTGCCTCGCCGACTGCTACGATGGGCTTCTGGCACTTGAGCACGCGGTCTTCTCGCAGGGCGCGAAGTCGGTGCCCCCCATGCCTCGGCGACCACGAGAGGAACGGGGAGTCGGGCTTGAGGTCGTGGTTCAGCTTCTTGTTGACATGCCGCATGGACGTCCCCACCTGCTTCCTCACCGCCTGGATGGCTCTCTCGGCCCTGCCATTCGCCTGGCCGCTGCACCTCTCCGACTGGCTCATGGGGATCGCCTCGCAGACGCCGTCTTTGATCGCCCTGGCCCCAACTGCCATGATGAGCGAGAACTCTGCCGCCCCTCATTCGTCCAGTTCCACTCGCGAGTGTCCAAGTTCATCTAGCCACGAAACCGCCGAAGCCACGGTGTAGATGTCGTCGCGACCCCTCTGGATGATGGCCGTGCTCCAGATGCCCCCTGTCGAAGCGTCGCTGCCCACCGCGAACTCGAAGTCGAAGGGGTCTCCCGTCGATGCCCGCCTGGCCGTAGTCAAAGCTCAGCAATGGGATCAGCTCGTCGCGCCTGTCCTTGTTTTGGTCGGCTATGTCGTTGGCCTTCGCTTGGATGCAGATCTCACACCATGGTTCAGCAGGGTAGTGCGCCAGCTCGTGCCTCTCGATCTCCTCCGCACTCGGCTTTCGAGATCCAGGTAGTCCACTGGCTGTCGTCTCTGGCTCCACAGCCTCGCGATCGTCGGAAACTGCAGCTGGCCCCTCTGCCGGCGCATCCGCTAATACATCTGCGGCTCCTCGCGATGCGACCTGCGGTCACTGCCGCTCTCCTGATGGTTATATTCGTGGCCCTCCTGCCATTGCTCGTTGAACTGCGTCTCCGCCTTCGCCCCCCCCCCCACCTTGCCGCGCCGCTGCGACTGCCGCCCCGATCGGCGCCAGTGGCGTCATCCCCCCGCGGGCCTCCCCCATGTCATCGTACATCTTGGTCCAGCATTCCAGTGCGTAGTGGTTGTTGATCTTCTTCTGCTTGACCAGTCCTGCCGTCTCGTGCCTCAGCAGTCCTCCTTTGCCGTCGTACCACGCCACGCGGGTCTCCATCCTGCTGCAGAACTTGACCACGCTCACGATGGGCTGCTTCACGTCGGCGACCTGGAACTCCACGATGATGCGTCTGTCGCCGGCTATGTAGAGCGTCACCGTCTTTGATCCTAAGTGCTTCAGTGGCGCGCCGTCTGCGACCGCCAGGCCGGGGTTGCGCCCTGGTTTGAGCTCCACGTTCGGGAAGCCCCTAGTGCCGCACACGTGCTCATCTGCGCAGTTGCCCGTCAGCACCCAGAACGAGCGCCATATGACGCCCCCCATCATGATGTAGACCTTTTCTCCTGCACCCTTGGCTTCCCGTCATTCGTAACTGCGAGGATGGAACCACCTTCCCACTCTGACGCGCGCTCGTCTATCGCGGCGATCGCTCGAACTCCTGCCCCCGCCTGGCTGGCGGAAGGTCCTGCTATAGATGGTGCTGGACTTCCTGGTGGTGGTGTGCCGATGTTGCTCCAGCCGTCGTACATCGCGATCTCGTTCACTCCTCCTTTCTGTCCTTTCTCGACCTTCTGTTTACCCTTGTTGTAGTTGGGGTTATCCTGTCGATGCCAGCGGCCCCATCGCATAGTACCCCCTCTGGCCACAGGTGTAGCAAAGCCTCGCCCCAGGTACTCCTATCATACTCCAGGCTGGCTGTCGCGTCGCTGCTGTCCTCGCCATGGGATCCGAGCCCTTGCCCTTCTGGTCTTTGCTCCTGTTCTTGCCTTCGTCGTTTTTACTTGTGCCTCTGTCATCTTTGCCCTTGCCTTTGGGATACTGCCGCGTCAGCGCGCCCACCTCCCTGGCCCCTGAGGTTCGACTTCCTTTGCCGCCTTCTGCTCCTGGTCCTGGTGGGCTTGGCCACTTCTGCTGGTGCCCGTCTCCGTGCACCGTCGCCGCTTGTAAGTACTGTATCGCGGTGCTGATCAGCTCATCGTAGCTTCTCTCGCTCTGCATCTGCAGTACCGTCCTGATGTTAGTCGGGGCCTCCTGCAAATAGATGCTCTTCTTGAATCCCGCGTTGAACACCTCTCCTGATGCCGTCTCGTAGCGTCTGATGTCACGCCCCCAGTCTGACTGGCACTGCTCGAACCCTGCCAAATCCGAAAGGGAGATTCTTCACGTTGAGGATCGCCGTCATGATGCTCTGCGCCCTCATTGCCGTCGCAGGCTCGAAGCGCTTGATCACGGCGCGCCACGCCAGCGCACCGTTCGTGTCCTCTACGCTCCTGATCAGCATCTGCGCGCTGCCCTTCACCGTCATGACCAGCGCGGAGAACATCTTCTTCGTTGTCGAAACTCCTTCAGCTCCCAACCGGTGTAGGGTATCCGCCATGCTGGTGTCTGGATCCCCTCGCTGCTCAGCCGCCTCCAGGAAGACTCAGCGCCTGGGCCGTCTGGCCGCCCAGGTACGCCCTCATCACGAAGCTCCACTCCGTCCAGTGCTCCTCTTGGCCGTCGAACGTTGGCGGCTTCAGCCCCGAGACTTGCCACTCAGCACCAGGCTTTGTCATGGTCACGTAGACCTCGTCCTGCACGTCTATGGTCACGTAGACCTCGTTCTGCATGTCTGTGGTCACGTAGACAGACCTCGTTCTGCACGTCTGTGGTCACGTATACCTCGTGCTGCACGTCTGTGGTCACGTAGTCCTCGTCCTGCTTGTCTGTGGTCACGTAGACCTCGTCTTTCAGCTTTGTGGTCACGTAGACCTCGTCCTTCTGCTCTGTGGTCCCGGAAACCTCGTCCTGTACTCCTGTGGTCACGTAGACCTTGTTTTGCACTCCTGTGGTCACGTAGACCTTGTCTTGCAATCCTGTGGCCGCGTAGACCTTGTCCAGCTGCTTGGTCACGTAGGTCTCATCCAACTGCTGGGTCAGCTGGTTGCCGTGGATCGCTCGCCCTGCGGCCGCGGCCGCGAGGGCACTGGCCAACGCCCCTAGCTGCGGGGGGGGCGCCCAGCGGGAGCTGCCCGTAGCCAGCTCCGCTAGCATGATAACTTTTGTGGCAAAGAGGTACGGTAGCGTATCAGGTTATTGTTGAAACGTGTTTAAACCAGCTCTATGTACGGTTTCCCTCAACACGAATCACACACACACATAAGAAACACACACAAACACAAACACACACACACACACACACACACACGCAAACACACACACAAACACAAACACACACACACACACACAAACACAAACACGCACACACAGACACACAAAAACACACGCACAAAAAAAAACATACACACAATTCGGCGTCGCGGCCACCCGCGCGGCGGCGCGGCGTAGGTCAAGTTGTGCAGGCGAGCGCGGGCTGGGCCAGCTCACGCAACACGGAGCCACACACGCACACACACACACACACACACAAACACACTCACACACACTCACGGACCCAGACATCCTATATTTGATTATTGTCCATATGAGCGGTCCCCAGAAGTCTCGACCCTTTCCCCGAGGCCAGGTGTTCATCCCGAGTCGTTTTTGACTGTCCTGGTGCCCAACGAAGAACCCCAGAAACCAAAACATGCGAAACGAATGCGCCTTGATTTGTACATGAGTTGGATGTCTGGGAGCACTCGCCGCCCTACGAGCGCGGCAAGCCAGTGGCCAAGCAAGCGGGGGCCGGGTCGGACGAAAGGGGGGGTTAGCAGAGGGGCGTCGGCTAATCAGCTCACTCAGCTGGTTTCCCTGGAGCCTCCCGGCGCCAGAACGCGCCAGCGCATTAGGAAAAGCGCCCAGCGGTGGGGCTGGAACCAGCTGCGCACAGCAAATTTCGTAGACCCCCCTTGCCCTTCTTGCCCTGTTCGTCCGACCCGGCTGATCCTCCTCGTCTGGCGTTCTAGTGGTAGCTCGGGTCTCCGGCGGCCGCTTTGGACGATCCAAGCTCCCCAGGAACGCTCGGTGCCAGGCGCAGCTGACGGAGAGCGTCCCGAGGCTGGCTAACCGCTGAGGACCGACGAACACCTCGAATGTCAAACGCCCTCTTCCCCCTTACCCTCCGCCCCCGCTCCCTACATTCGGGCCGCTGGCCCAAGGAATGTTAGATCAGGAACGAGGCCCCTGTTTTCCAAGTGGGTCTGTGATGCCCGAAGGAACGGCCAAACCCTTTTCTAGCAGCATTCCGCCATGAGCTGCCTTCGCGATTGGACCCCCACAACCTCTGCCAAACTATGCAGGAACGCCCGCCCCCCTCCCCCCCCGCCGCCCCAAAATCAAACGCAGAAACGCAGCCCGCGCACAACGCGTTGGGAACGCGAGGGGCCCGCGTGTGGGACTCGGCCTTTACGTGGCCACTTTCCGATTCGGTGACGCGCGCGAGCCCAAACTCGCACCGCGCAAGGAACGCCCGGGGCTCGCGCGG